GCCTGGCTCTGCACCATCCCCAGCCTCACAATGGTCTGGGATCACACCGTTGGGATTAATAGGTTTTTCGGGCTGATTCTTGGAGGTAGATCACCAGGCTTTTACTCCTAATCCCTCTTAGTCCGGAAGCTCTGCTGAAACCAACCTGTTCTGCATCGTGCAATACCCAGGATTCCACGGACAGACAGGCCAAGGCTGTGCGTGCGGGCATTGGCTGGAACTTGAACCTGGAGATCCTGCTTGGAAGGAAAGAGTTCCTGTACTGGACCCCCACTGCACCTGCTCAGCATGACACTCCCTCCTAGTTACTAGCCACTGCTGGCTAGGGACTGATCCACTGTGGGGGCTGGAGTAAGCACTTTAGGGACATTGTCTCACTACCCCCTACCCTCACCCTCACACGCTAATATTGTCCCTATTTTGCAGGAAAAGAAAGTCAAAGATCAAAGAGATAAAGGAGGGCCGTGGCCCCAGATCAGGATTAGATAGTGGGAGGTTGGGCTGACACAACGTCCATGCTTTCCATCACCGAATCCCCCCTCAAACCCTTCAGCTGTCGCCGCAGGTGAAAGTTCAAGCAAAGAAGAATGCAAGCAGAAGTTGCCCCAAGTCGCCGATCTATGGTAGTCCCCACCTTGAGCACCATTCCAGACTCTCTGCGTCTGTGAGCAGAGAACCGCAGAGAGTAATCATGACTTTTTCAATGGATCATATTCTGTGTGCATGTGCAAAGTCAAAGTCAAACTTCTCATGGACAAGGATGGTGAGAACGGTTGAGGGCCTCGAAGGGAATAACATCGTCATGAGCTGCACAGGTAGAAAGCATTGAATTGGCTCATGTTCTGCTGTGTGTATTTCTCAATAACAGCAAAACAAAATAAATTACTTTAAAGAAGAGTTAACGGTCAGTGGGAGACATGAAAAAATAATTTTAAATGATCAAGGGTTAATGAGGGAGGGGGTGGGAAGGAAGAGCTGATACCAAGGGCTCAAGTAGAAAGAAAATGTTTTGAAAATGGTGATGGCAACATTATATACAAACGTGCTTGACACAATGGATTGGATGGATGCACTGTGATAAGAGCTGTACGAGCCCCCCATGAAATGATTAAAAAAAAAAAGTTACTTTCCCAAAATAAATGATTTAATTTTGTTTAAAAGACAACCTTAACTTTTCAAAAATGAGACGGAGGCATTGCTAAACTTCAGAAAAGCTTTTTGTTAAATCATAAGTGTTGTTGCTAGGTGGCATCGAGTTGATTCTGACACCGCGACCCTGTGCACAACAGAAGGAAACACCCACCCTCCCAATTGTCCCCGTGCCTGAGCCACCACACCTGTCGGTCCATCTTGTCAAGGGCCTTCCTCTTTGTCGCTGCCCTTCTGCTTTACCAAGCAGATGTCCTCCTCCAGGGACTGGTCTCTCCTGGCAACATGCCCAAGTTTCATGAGACAAAGTCTCATCATCCTTCCTCTGAGGAGCATTCTGACCGTCCTTCGTCCAAGACAGGCCTGTGTGTTCTTTGGCAGTCCATGGGACTTTCAGCCTTCTTCGCCAGCACCACAATTCAGACGCATAGTGTTCCTAGCTCTTCTGTCGTTACATTGAAATAAAATAAAAACAATTTTTAAGAAGTTGTAAAATCATTATTTGTTTGTTTTCTAGCCTACGTCAAAAGCTGTTTCATACTATGGAAGTTAAGGAAAATAACATATTTTCTGCCTCCTTTTTTCCCCACTCCAAATTTTTGCTAGATTCATTATTATCACTGTTATTGTTTTTACATTCTTTTCAATAACTATAAATGACACCACTTTCAAAATATTAATGTAATAGCCACAGAATGTTTCCTTTGCCAAACTTACTGTCATTTTTGTTGGCTGGATTTCACTGTCAGGTCATTTCTTCAATAAGCCTTGTGATTGAAAAAGCCCTGAAATGTATGTCTGAGAATGTCTATGACATGAATACTTCAAGGATGGTTGTGCTAGGTGTGAAACTCTTGTCACGATTCCTTTGATGTGTCCCATTGTTTTCTGGGAAGAGCAGATTCTCCACAGCCCCATCTCCTGTGCCTGGCTCGATGTGCTTTGATCATCTTACAGATCAGTAACTTTGTCAGGATGTGGTGCATAGTTACTCTGTCCACTCTTCTTAGGACATAAAATGTCAATTCAGTCTGTAGAATAAAATTTTTGTTTATTTCAGAACGGTTTCCATTACATATTTGAGGTTTTCCCCTATTCCTTTTAATCTGTTTTTTTCCGGAAGCACACCAATTATGTGTGTTGGATTTCCTTTTACCTCCTACCACTGTCATTTGTCTTATTATTCTTTTTCTCCATTTATTTTTAAATTTAAAAAAATAATTTTATTAGGGGCTCATACAACTCTTATCACAATCCATACATACATCCATTGTGTCAAGCACATTTGTAC